GATGGATTGCCAATTTCGAAAAGTTCGCTGAAGAGCGTGTGGCCTATTTTAGTGAATGTAAATGGGACGGATTCAGTTTTCGTGGTTGATATTTTTTGTGGACGATCTCATCCCAATGATGTGAATAAGTTTCTGGCACAATTTGTCGATGAGTTAAACGCTCTTCTCCAAAATGGATCCTCATACGAAAACAAAACTTTTGTAATAAAATGTCGAGCATTTATTATGGATGCACCAGCTAGGGCACTTATGATTGGAGTCAAAGGACACGCAGGCTATAGTTGCTGCACAAAGTGCATTCAGAGGGGCGAACGGAAAGAGAATCGTATGATATTGCATTATCAAAATCATCCTTTGCGCACAAATATAAATTTTCGGCAAAGAACTGATGTCAGACATCACAACCAGCAAAGTTATTTGGAGATTGAAAAACTTCCAATCGACGTGATCCAAGTATTCGCTCTAGATTACATGCACTTGGTGTGTTTGGGTGTAATGAAGGCTTTGCTTGGATCCTGGATAAAAGTTAAAAATCGCAATTATTCTTTGCAACAAAATGATATACGAAAACTAAACACAGAATTTCAATCCATTGCGCGTTACATACCAAGAGGCTTTTGTAGGAAACCACGGGATTTAAAATAGATAGACCGCTTCAAAGCAACGGAATTCCGTCAGTTCCTTTTGTATACAGGCCAGGTTGTGCTAAAGGACATATTGAGCGAAGAGAGGTACATTCATTTTTTGCAACTTAGTCTTGCAATGCGAATTCTCCTCAAWGCTGAAGATTGTGTACAAAATAACAAATGCGCAGAGGAGCTGATAAAGGATTTCTTACTTAGAGTCCATGTTTTATATGATGATTTAATGTTAACATATAATTGCCACTGTTTGAGTCATTTCTCCAGAGATTCCATGCACTTTGGATCACTAGAGACAACCAGTGCTTTCAAGTTTGAAAATAAATTAGGAAAAATTAAGAAACTAGTTAAGAAAAAAAATAATGTTCCATCCCAAATTTACAAGAGACTAGTTCAGCAGAGTGTACATGGAAATCATCATACAAATATTGTTTCAAAAAAATCTACAGTACAAAGTGATGGCACTTACAAATTTGTTAAAACTAAAAACTTTTATTTATCACCTATTGCACCTGAGAACTTTTATTTAGTACAAAAATTAATTTTCAAACTTATTTCCATATCAAGATCTGCTGATAACGATTTTCTACTTCACGGGCTAAGGGTACAAGACTTACATAACTTATATGATAAGCCGCTTCAATTATCGCTTTTTAATATTTACCGTGCCGAAAATCTCAAACACCGAATCACCATACGCTTAACGAAGTAACATCAAAAGTTATATGCTTCTACACCAGATCSTCTTATATATTTGTGCCACTCATAGCAGATCATGTCGCAGAACAATCTCAATTACMTCGTCGACCCCATTAATGATGACATCGCATCCTCACAAACTATTTATGTGATGCAACCAAGTCCAAGCACAACAACAACTTCTTTGGATAGTGCAACGTCGTCGGGTAAGATATTTATTTTTAAAGGATAGTTTTAACATAACACCGCAACACTTTTCTCATATTTGTTTTATATTTTTTTCGGCAGCAATTCAATCAGTAATCATCGACGCATATCAAAAGGCTGTTGAAAAGGTGGAGGAAAAAAATAAGCTAATATTGTTGCGCCTAACAGAAAACGTTGAGGGGATGCGCAAAGAAATTATTGATCTTAAAAAAGCGGTATCACATAATAACGCTACTATTATACCAAGCAAGCCGTAAGCTAATATTGAAGGCTTCCTCAATTTTGAGAAGACTATTCTGGAAGATATAGATAAATTTTCCTTGCTGGTAAGAATTTAAATTTGAAACATCCGGTGACTGTATACTGATGTCGATTTTATTTATATTTTTAGAAAGCAGATCTAAAAAGATGGTCAACATCCAATTCGAGAAAATTTGTTACGAAAGCGTGGCAGAAGATTATGACTGACAACGTTGCTGAGAGCTTTTCCTGGCGAGGAACTGCAGATAATAAGTTCATTAGGGCCTTCACTGTCGCCACTGCTATTCATCGTAGGCGAAATACGTTTAAAAGGTTTCTAGTTACATTTCTATATTCATATTTAAATTCTATTGCAGAAACTTTCGCTGAAAATGGAGGCAAGAAAGAGGACTTTGTGTTTGCCTCTAAGTCATATTTCCAGGACGCAAAAAATCGTATTAAAATTAAAACAACAAAAAAAGTGAACTAAAATACTAAGTAGTAATGATTTTTTAAAAGAAAAACCAATGAAGTTCCTATTTTTATATTTTAATGTAATATTATTCTATGAAGAAACCAAATTTAATATTAAAACTGATTTTTTAAATGTATCAATAAAAAAACATATCCAAAACAAAGTAAATGTTTAAAACTCTTACTTATTTCATTAAAAATACGTATTTTTTAAGCATTTTCAAAACGTGTTTTATAAGCATTTAGAAAACGTGTAATTACGTTATTTAAAAAACGAGTTTTGCAATTGTCTTTTAAACGCTTATAAAGTTGGGTCCTTTTCGATTATAAACCCCTTTCTTTGATGTCTTTTGTAAAGGTCACAGCAGCGTTTTATAAGTGTTTTGCTTACATTTGAACGCTCACAAAACGCTTATTTTTTATATGTAAATGCTGGCTGGGTACATACTTTGAAGTAAATTTTTGAAGCGAATGTCTAAAATGAGTTGGAAGCCGTAACAAGTGCTTTAAGTAGAATGATTATATTACCATTGCAACTTTCTTGCAAGCAACACATGTATTGACTTTTATAGAGGAAGGGTTTTATTCAAAAAGTAAAGCTTTTTTTAATGAAATTAGGTCCCAATTAGAATGGAAACTATGAAAATAAAAACAAAAAACATTTAARATTGTTCTTCGCCGATTAACAATATGATCACAGACTAAATGTTGTAAATAACTTGTTGAGTTTAAATTCAATATGTTCGGTAATAATTAAACACCATTTGTAAGACGTCGTATACTCATAGAATTGATTACATACAACTAGTCGTTTTGGTTCGTCAGTAATACAACTCAATATAATTATTAATTTCGGCTAATCCTGTAAACACAATATAACTAATAACAAAATAAACTTAAAAAACATTTTCAAATTAACAATATCGGCATAAAGTCAGTAAAATAGATATTTCAATAAATTACAGAAAAATTTACAAATTTATAAAAATAACTTACCTTACTACAAAATATGCCATTAAATTTCTTTTCGCTTAGTGGTATAGAGGCTGAAATTCTGACAATCGTTTCAAAGTCTGCTTGACGCACGTGATTTTTAAACTCAGGGTAAAGTGCATATAAAACGCCATCGGCATCATCCTTATCTTTTTTTACAACATTCTGCAAAGAAGAAAAAACTCCCATCCAAATAGTCCAACGAATGTCATGAGCTTCTAGATATATCATGATACGCCGAATTAGAGTCTAAAAAATATCATTTAATAATTAACAAACAAATTCAAAAGTATTAACTTAAATTTTATAAGTTTTGGAGAAAGGGAAAATTGAAATATTATAATAAAGTGATAACTGATTTTGAGGACGTATCCATGTAAATATAATAATTGCAAGTTAATTTCTTCTACTCATAACAATTACTGGTTAAACTTGTCTATAATTAATAAAGGAGCTTCCCTAAATTGAAGGGTAAAGATCCGTTGATTAGAAAAGAAAAAATTCTTTTCAAAACGTTCCGTATGATTTAACATATTTTTGAATCGTCTATTATCCAGTACCAATCATGTACAATACTGAAATTGATTAGAATGTTGCAATCAGTATATTAATTTTAATTCTAATCCTTAGTCTAATTGAGTTTTAAAAAAGAACAAAAAAAAAAATAATCTTAATGATTTACTTTAACATATTTCTGGGTACATTGAAACAATTATAATTAAAAGTTTGCTCACAGAAATCAAATAATTATATTACCTTTCCCTTACGAACATTCATAATTGCTGCAACTTCTTCTTGTGAAAGTCCAGCTATAAGCTTTGCTATTAGTGCTTCTTTCTTTTCAATCTCATATGTGAATTTGTTTTTCAATGCAGGATTCACTGTTGATGAATTGGATGCTTCTGACATTCGCTCTTCATGGCTTTTGCCAGCATTTTCTATCTGCTCTAAAGCCGCTATGCGCTCACTTTCTTTCTTTTTCTTCATTATAATGGTAGCGATTGCAGTGGGATTATTTAGATCTTCCAATTTCAAAACAATACGGTAGAGAGTTTCGATATGTAACAAAATATGACGCGATTTACGATGAACTGATGATGTAAAATCGCTTATTGCACCTGTTAGAGGAGCTACTGGTATTATGTTTGACTTAAGGATGGATGAATTGGAACCACTATAACTTGTAGTTATTGGGACACTATCACCAGCCCCACTGACTATATTTTCATTTCCCATAATTTCAGCATCAATTATTTTACGCGGTGCTGTTACACTTCCATACTGTAACTTACCTAACGAGTTTTCAAACTTTAGCGGACTAAAAACATACGGTCCTTTTTGATCTGGACTATTTCCTATATTTCCGCTATTAATTCCAACTGTCCCGGTGCTCTCTGAATTACGACGTTCGCGATGTTGACCATTCCGCGTTCCATTTTTATTGCCAAGCTGAACTAAAATAAGCTGAGCGTGACCCTTTGGTTGCGTTAGTGGATGATTTAATTGGTTGTCTTTATGTGCTTGACTATGGCGGAGGTTGCCATTGAGAACAGCTTTTCTTTCGCGGTATACCGTATAGTAAAAATCATCAATGTAGGGAGTATCCGTGTTTAATTGTGAAAGCTGTATACCTATTAGCCAATGTTTGTCACGTGTACTCATTAAGTTGGCATATTGATCAAACTCCTCATGTGGCAAGTTTCCGTTTGAAGATCCTCCATCACGCCGTTGATGAATTGGTTTATTAATTCCACTAATATTGGCCCTTTGTTGTACAAGAGTTTGTTGAGAGTTCATTCCAATATTTTGTTGTAGTTGTTGTGTTTGACGTGCAACATTTTGCAAAAGAGGATGATTTTGTTGAATTTCCTGAACTAAACGCATATTGAACATATTATACATAGAATTCGATTGCCCAGAATTTAGTAAGACAGCTGAGTTAGGAGGATGTGGACTTATGCGAGCTGTTTGTGGAGTTTGTATCAAAGAAGCCTTATGGATACCAGCAACAGCTGCAGCAGCACGCATTGCATTAAAATTGGGATGCATTGCAAAATTATTTAAAGCAATTGGCAGATGTGGGCTTGGCAGTGGTCTCGGAAAATTGGGGGGTAATCCATGTTGGTTAAGTATAGGATGTGGATGAAGCTGATGATTGTTTTGTTGCTGCACATGCGGGCTTAACCCAGCTGAATATAAAGAAAATCCTGGTGGAAGACGATTGCCACCACCACCCGTTTGCTGTTGATGAACTAAATTTCCCAATGGGTGTTGTGTCAGATTAATTGCAAAGTTAGGGTTTGGCCTCATTGTGTGACCTTGATTTGGAAAACCTGGCGGGCGTATACAAAACATATTTCATAAATTTTTAATATGTATAAAAACTGTAATACCTTTTAATTGTGAAACTTGGGATTTTGTCTGATTTATTTGATGTTGTAATAATTGATGTTGCTGCATATGATGTGGTTGAGGTGGAGGTGTGTTTGCGTTTGAAGACTGTCTAACAGCGTCATTAACATGCTGTTGAATATGCGGTTTTAGATTTTGATGATGCTGATTTCGTTGGTCCTTGGGTTCAATAAAATTATCGTGATTTTTTCGTATACTTTGTTCAATAATAATATTTCTTTCAATATCCTCCAGAGTACAAAATTTTGGAGTTGGGGGTAAACCAAATGCACCGCCAAGATGGTGGGGCAATTCTCTTTGAATCATTTGTGTATCTGTGCACTGATTTTTTTCCGATTGTATATGTTGTGCAAAGAGATTTGCATTTTGAGCTTGTTGAAAAATTTTATCGCTGTTGTTTACATTATTAATTCCACTTACTGAACATCTTTCTCTTGAATGGAATATTGTCGAATGTTCACTACCATCCAAGGCTATGTTCGAACTTTTAAAAGGATTCGTGGCCCAAACACTAGGATCTAAATTTATTCCAGTTGATCCAGATAAACTTTCGTTATCGTCGAATCTCAAGTCGACATCGTCTAACTTCATAGCTGATAGATTTAACTCCAAATCCGAATCTGCAAATTTTTCTACATAACGGTTTCGTGATATATTTGCTTTTGATGGCGATGAAGTTTGAGAGGATTTTAAAATATTTCCACTAATTAGTTTTACACCATCGAAAGAATCTTTGTTAGAACTACCAGAAACTGAGCCGTCTGTAAGCCGCACCATAGTTTCATGTGCTTCTTCCCAATCTCCATTAGTGGCAGATCCAAATGTTTCATCGTTAAGGGCATCATACTCTTCTTCGGAAGGTTCAGCAATTTGACCACCTGCCCCGTTGTCGTCGTACTAGAAAACACAATAATTCCAAACAGACATAATGTAATAAATGTAAAAAAGTAAATGCTCAATCTATATATAAATACAACACGACATACTGATTAAGAATGCCTTCCTAACGTTAAGGCATGGTTTGACTATTTTAAATCAACAACCATCATTTACAATCTAGTTTGAAAATTTGTATGTTTCAAATTATTCTATTTAAATGCAATTATACATTTTACATACCGGTACAGATGTATCGAAACCAAAAAAAGAATCATCCATCTAGAAAATTTGTTTATTTCACACGAAATTGTCATTTGTCATATATGCACCGCCGCCATTGACTAATTGCCACGGTTGCCTACACTTTACTTGAACAAAACCAAAAGGTTTCAATGACTGATGTATGCTATTATTTGACTGAGAAAAAACGTGAATATGTATTTTTCACGACAAAAGATTTAAAACCTATTTAAATATTTCTAAAATCACCAAGAAATAGGTTACTTCCTTTTCAAATACACATAATTTATTTAGAAATCATCTGGCATCACTTATTTGCCAAAACCTTACCAATGGAAGCATTCGGAATTCACAAAATTTTAAACAACCCACTTAACAAATGAGTAGTAATGGTAGAAAATTATTAATTGGATTTAGGTTTTGGGGTTAAAATGGGTATGTACGGACAGAGGAGGTCCTCCAGATCAAGAATGTATACATTCCTACCTAAAACATATACACCGTATATTTTACAAATCAAACCAAAATAAAGAGATGGACGACCAATTAAAGTGAGTTATTTAGCAAATGTATTGAATTTGATACATATGTAATAATTTCATTTATTTTTAGGAATTTAAAATGTGAAAGAATAACTCGGGAGTAGCTGCAGGATTCCAGCACACTATTTCAACAATAACATCTTTTTATTCACTCATGTAGTAACATTATTTGCAAATAAAGTGTTGACCGAATTATTTAAACATAAATTTGTAAATTTCCCTTTGTTCTTACTCAGACAGTACAAAGACCGTAAATTACATATTTATTGTAATAGACAAATATTTATAACAGATAACTAGTTCCTCCAGTATATTTCAATAAAATAATTGCTAATTTCCTTAAAAATATTGAATACATTGCATTGTGAGATTTGCTTTCAGTTTTTATGGGGAAATTGCGAGTATTTCTGCTTTTAAATTCACCATAGAATACGGAAAACCTCGATTGGCCGCGATCTGAAGGTAGCGTTGTTCTTCCTCTATGTCCTTCTTCTTCTTAATTGGCGTGGACACCGCTTACGCGATTATAGCCGAGTTAACAACAGCGCGCCAGTCATTTCTTCTTCCCACGTGCAAAGGACCATAAATCTTTCGCAGAACTTTTCTCTCGAAAACTCGCAACGTCGACTCATCAGTTGTTGTCATCGTCAAAGCCTCTGCAATATATAGCAGGATGAGAATTGTGAGTGACTTATAGAGTTTGGTTTTTGTTCGTCGAGAGAGGACTTTGGACTACGACATCAAAGATATGACTGTCAATAGTGACGTGAGAACCAAGTCGTGAGTGCGACGACTGCTTGTTTGATGACAGGAGATATTTCATTTTGCAATCGTCTACTGCCAGACCTATTAGTTTTGCTTCCTTGTCCAGTCTGGAGAAAGAAGAACTAACGGCGCGGATGTTGAAGCCGATGATATCAATATCATCGCCACACGCCAGTAGCTGTTCACTCTTATAGAAGATGGTAACTTCTCTATTCTGCGGCTCAAATTATTTTCTCCAGAAGAAGGATGAAGAAGTCGCACGATAGGGTGTCCCTTGTCTAAAACCTCGTTTGATATCGAATGGCTCGGAGAGGTCCTTCCTGATTCTGACGGAGCTTGTGGTGCTGGTCAACGTCAGCTTACACAGCCGTATAAGTTTGGCGGGGATATCAAATTCAGACATCGCGGCATAAAGGCAGCTCCTTTTCGTGCTGTCGAAAGCAGTGTCGATTATCCTTTCACGAGTCTTTTCCAAGATTTGGCGCATGGTGAATATCTGGTCGGTTGTTGATTTTCCAGGTCTGAAGCCACACTGATAAGGTCCAATCAGTTTGTTGACGGTGGGCTTTAAKCTTTCACACAATACGCTCGATAGAATCTCATATGCGATATTGAGGCGGCTTATCCCACTGTAGTTGGCGCAGATTTTGGGGTCTCCTTTTTTAAGGATTGGGCATAGCACACTTAAATTCCAATCGTTGGGCATGCTTTCGTCCGACCATATTTTACAAAGAAGCTGATGCATGCTCCTTATCAGTTCTTCGCCGCCGTGTTTGAATAGCTCGGCCGGCAATCCATCGGCCCCCGCCGCTTTGTTGTTCTTCAGGCRGGTAATTGCTATTCGARCTTYTTCMTGGTCGGGCAATGSAACGTCTGCTCCATCGWCATCGATTGGGGAATCGGGTTCCCCTTCTCCTGGGGTTGTGCATTCACTGCCATTCAGAAGGCTGGAGAAGTTTGCCTCCATAATTTAAGTATGCTCTGGGGGTTCTACAAGAACCAAGGTCTTGAAACCTTCTGTAAGACGCAGCATTTGGTCATAGCATTTCCGAGCATTACCCCTGTCGGCCCGCTTATCAAGCTCTTCGTACTCACGCATTGCGGCCTCTTTCTTTTTCTGTCTGGAAATTCGTCTCGCTTCAATCTTTAACTCTCGGTATCTATCCCATCCCGCACGTGTTGTGGTCGACACGGCACTCCTCGTCGTACCAGCTGTTCTTTTGCACTTTCCGAAAACCAATGGTTTGGATTGCATCTGTACGTAAGGAGTATGAAATGCCGTCCCGCAGCTCCTTTATACCGAGTTATTGACGAGTGCTCTCAGAGAGCAAAAGTGCAAGCCGAGTAGGAAATCGTTCGGCTGTTTGTTTTGATTGGAACTTCTCGACGACGAACTTCCTTGTGTTTGTTGACGTGCTCTTTTTGCTGCACAGAGGCGGGTGCAAATCTTGGCGGCAACAAGATAGTGGTCCGAGTCGACGTTAAAACCTCTGATCGTATGCACGTCTAGAACACTGGAGACGTGTCTTCCGTCTATCACAACATGATCGATCTGGTAGGTGGTTTTTCGATCCAGAGACAGCCAGGTAGCTTGATAAATCTTCTTATTCGGGAATCTAGTACCACAGATAACCACGCTTCGGACCCCGGTGAAGTCGATTAGCCTCAACCCATTTGGGACTCTCGTGAGGCTGAATCTATGGGCCGTAGTGCCAAAGATGACTCTTTGCCCACCCTGGCGTTAAAGTCGCCAAGCACAATTTTGACGTCGTGGCGGGGGCAGCTCTCATAAGTGCCCTCCAAGGACTCATCAAAGGCATCTTTGGTCACATCGTCTTTCTTATCCATCGGGGCGTGGGCGCAAATCAGCGATATGTTGAAAAACCTCGCTTTGATGCGGGTTGTGGCTAGACGTTCATTCACCAGAGTGAAGTACTCGGCTATGGAGTGGAGCTTGCGCTCCTTTATATGACCACTGTAGTAAATGCCACAAGGACTTACTCGTCTCTGTCCTTGGTCGGCGGTGATGTCAGCCTTTATTTTCACGAGGACATCAATCAGCTGGGCAGCGGCACCTTCCCAAYTAAGGGACCGGACATTCCAGGTGCATGCCCTCAATGCGTAGTCCTTATTTCGTTTGCCATGGTCGTCTTCAAAAGGAGGTCTCTCATCCGAGGCTGGTCGTTCCTTTTCATTGGGGGTGTGTTTTTTACGTTGCGGGTCCCAAACCCAGCGCATAACCCTATGTAGGGGATATTTCGCCTTCGCACTTTAGCTTGCCTTTAAGCGGATATTCTTAGGCTACCCAGAGGATACTTGGTCAAAGACCGGAAGTCGTGAGCTTCTTGAGACATATGCAAAAGAATCGTTTCTGGCCACTCCCAAGTGGATGGCGATCAGAGAACTTTCCTCACTTGCGTGAACTTGTACACATGATTAAAAAATTTATACATTTCAACAAGTTATTTGACTACATTTAACACTTTTTACGAAAATTTTTCACTTCAAATTAATGAATTAAACTGTAACCATTTAAATAAATTCACTTTTTACACTCGTTATGCACATCATTTCGTGGTATCAATTATTAGGAAATGGAGGGCTGTCATATAATAATATGCGCGAATAAGAGCAATTCGTTTAAATTCCTATTTTTTATTAAGCAATCTTATTAGAAATAAAAATAGTATAAATTATATTTTAAAATGAAATGAGTATAAATAAAAGTTCCATGCATACGAATATTTTGTTATTCAAATTTTATAAAGAAATAAGTAATATAACAGAAAAAATTATTCTAACATCAAATTTAATAGTTCAAACAAAAAACGTATTACATTATTTGCTAGCTGTTTTAAAACCTAATTGTAATCGTTTGAATTGAAATGGCATGCCCGTTAGAATCTTATGAATACGTGGTATAAAAGAAGTACTTCTCCTTTAGATTTAGAATATAAGATCCTAGCTTCAATCAAATTTGGCAAACACTTTTTCATTGCCAACAGGAACAAGTTGCAAAAGTATAACAATTTTTGTAGCACCAAAAGATGCAATTTGAAATGTCGAATTGTATTGTTGAACATGACTCAATAAAGTTTCGATCTTTCAAATGTTCCAAAAATTAATGAATACAATGGTTCGAATGAAGTTTTTAATGCTGTCAATCTCACTTTGCCATTAGCACAACACATCCGCCTTTCAAAGCTTGTGCGCGTTCATCTGCAGTCTTAGTAATAATGAATAAAGGGGTGTCCAACTTATCCCAGTGTGAGAGCGCTTCAAAATTAGCGTTTTTTATAATATTTTCCATTATGACCAGATTAAACAAAATAATAATTTTTGGACATTTAAATTAAAACATCCAACGTTTAGTACGAATAAAAATTACTATATAGTGGTTGTTTATATATATACGCATAAACTATTTAAATCTATATATAGTATATTAGAACAAATGACTTTTGGTCTTTCAATTGCCCAATAAATGGATTTAAGCTTGTTAGCTGCCATCATTAAATATTTTTAATAATTTTCCATTGAAAATAATACTGTGATGTTTCAAATTACAAAAAGTTTCACCAGATACCGTTAAATTTCACAAATTTATTAAGTTTTCACTGTTTTACATTTTTTACAAGTGGTGCAACAAATCTCTCAATCAGCTGTCAAAGTTCAGAAGGTTTTGACGTTTATCAATTGTTCTCTCACATCCAGTGAGAGAGGAGTTGGACATCTCTTTACCTCTGGTAATGCTACATATTTTGCAATACGCGTTCACGGTTTCCATCTATTACAAATAATAAAACACCTGTTAGCACAAAATGTTTTGTCAGATAAAGAAACTCCTTTGCATACTTCACTTCAACTGTTCAAAACTTACCGTTGTTTGACAATTTTATTGGAATAAAGCCTGTACACGATATGAAACCACGACGACTCGCTAAAGAACTGAGAAAATTACCGTAGGATAATGTAGATTTCAACGGTATTTCGATTTTTCCCGTAGAAACGTGTCAGCTGATTGCTCTTTTACAATGCAGGGTTGCCAGTCTCGAAATACTGTAGTAATTATGTCAATATGCTTGAAATTTTCTTAAACTAACTCAAAAACAGAGTCTAATGCTATTATTTATAAATAAATGAACTATTTTTAATAGTTTGTTTTCAGTTTTGATATTTTATATTATGAAGAATTGTAATTGAAAAGTGAGATGTGGTACAAAACTATATATGCGTATTGCACAATGGCAACATTGTTCAAATGAAAATGAAAAGAGATAGCTGATTTCTACTTTTGATACATTTTGCTCGCTACGGACGACAACTGAGGAAGGGAGTAGCGTTTTTCGTTGTTTCTGCTATAACCACTTTTTCGATAAGTTTCAACGCAATTACACATATTTTCTTCATTTATTAACACCAACGCACATATGTGGGTTCTTTTGGTTTT